ATTTGTGACAACAGGTGGCAAGCCTTTACAAAAACATAAAACTCCTGTCATTTGACACCTCACTTTTGAAAATAGAACGAACTATATGTACATACCTAGTATGTAAATGCCAGAAGAACCCAAATTGTCAACTTGAAACCGCATTTACAGTGAAAGTATGAAAGTTATCGAAAAAACAAATTACATTTTTGAATTTAACGTTCTCAATTTTACTAAGAAGCGAATTTTCATTTAAATCCGTCCATGATTCTATTTTTACCCACATTTTATATGGAACTTCCGCGGCGACTTTGCCGATCACTTACAATAGGTTTGTCCCGCGGATGCGATGTAAGCACATTATTTTTACATATATAATGCGTTACTCCATATCCATGATAAATTTGAAGTGCAATGTCAGAGGTCGATTTTCGCCAAAATTTCGACATTTTTGCGCGCTTGTAAGCGGTACATTTTCCCGCTAAATAAGTGTAAGTGATAAATTTTTGGCATCGTCCAATGTTAATTGATAACCACACAAAAGGCCAACGACGATAAAATAAGGTTATTTTTAAATTTTTTATTACACAATGTTAATGCTCTAGGAAGGCGTTGTCCCGCTAACTGGGTGTAAGTGGTTGGTTTTCGTGATTTACGTAATTATATTGAAAATCTTATCATACTTTTATCGACGATAAAATAAGTCACTAAAAACTGTCGCCAGCTCCCGGACTATTACTTGCTTACTTTTTATTTCTATAACCAATTTACCACGCTTGGTAAGAAAAGCCCAAATGCGGCTTTAGTCAAACCAAGCATTTTTCGTTTTATTAAGACAAGTTACTTAATTTTAACGGGATTTGGTAAATTTTTCGATAGGTTTTGGTAAATTTTATTTTTCGACCGCGACAACACTGTTCATATGTACATACTAGGGCATTAAATCCCGGGATCCAGAATCCCGGAATTCTGGGATCCCGGACACTTTTCCTTGGCCCGAAATCCCGGGATTACAGCTCCGGGATCCCGAGAATTTTAATAATTCATTTACAGAATGAAAGAGATGTTGAAAACGAAAAAATAATTTCATTTGATATGAAATACAGAATACCAAAATTTGGATTCAAAGTGAACTTGAACCATTTGCGCTTGGAAGTGAATTTCAGGACCTGCCTGAATAACTGTACTTGTTCAAATATTTTGTGCAAGAATTGTGAAATAACGAAAAATCTTGTAGCAATTGAAAACACAACAAGCGTTTACAATGTGGCAGAGTTGTTCTTCATTTGACTCTGTTGTCGTTTTTTGGAAAAGGATTTTTGCAAATATGAGTAAATCTTTTTGACAAGTTATATAGATATTTTTTAATACTATCAAAATATTTAAACATCAAATTAAGTACTTTTTACTAAGGGGCATTATGCTCCCCTAAGACCAAATGTGGTGACAATAAATCTGTGTGGTTTGAAAAAGGCGAACCTATTGTAAAATGCAAAAAGTTGTGATGAAGTCGAAATTCCGAAAAGTCTCGTGATCCCGGGAGTAGAATTTTTGCATCCCCAAATCCCGGGATTGTTAAAATGCTTCGAGATTGAATGCCCTAGTAAATACATTCCTATATACATAGCAGGGATTGGCATTGGTTGATCGTCAACTGTTCATACTCATTCAATACCGCTACTTTGTATGACTGAGCAGCGGCGTTGGCTTAGTAGTATCGATACCTAAACGAAATTAGAGGATGACTGAACACGAGCGCATTGCGTGCTGTCTTGCAAATACAGCCACCACAAGTGAACGATGGTTATAACTGCTCATACTGATATTGACTTCGGCAAATCTGTACTCTGAATGATCGTGCACGAAACCAGCAAACGTGGCAGTTGAACGGCTCCGAAAACATGAGTCATCATTTGTTGCAGAAGTCGTTTGACTTGTTGCTGAAAATCATCTGACTTGTTGCTGAAAATCATCTGACTTGTTGCTGAAATGACGACGAATGTGGTAAAGGGTAATTTATCGTCTCGTATGCATGCAAGAATGATAGAATACAAGATTGCGCCGATCAGAGAGGATTTTTGAGAATAACTTTTGTGTGACGTCACACTGGTGCAATTGCGAGAGAGAAATGCCAAAACGTGAGCAAGAATGGAAGAAGGAGAAAAATTGTTGCAAGGAAAACGTAAACATGTTGCACCAGTGTGACGTCATGCAAACAACGATTCTGTCAAATTCGTTAAGAGAAGAATAGCGGTCCGAGATCGGCGCAACCTTTGTATTCTCTCAATCGTGGTATGCATGTATGTATGTATTTATAGCGCGTCTACCATTCAATCACAGTATAGACAGTAACCAACCTTTTTGGGTTGTTGTTGTAGTAGTCGTTGTTGTTGTAGTTATATTCACTCCTGAGGAAGGCACGGGGTTGTGTGCTGCTATTTAATGGCCTTCCTCAGACTTTTTCTTAGATTTCAGGGTTGTGTGCTGCATTATGAGATAAATAAATTTAAGCATTTGACAAATCGTGATTTTATTAAAAGAAAATTATAAATGGTGTTGAAAAACCAAACAAACACTCGTGCGATAGCTCTATTTTTGTGTGTTGTTAAAACTTATACATGGCGTATTGATGGTAATACAAGCAATGTTTCTTTTGTGATTTTATGTTACTTGAGAATTTAGACAACGTGCGAGCTGCCAACTGACAACTAACGTACGCTTTTTGTTCTTTTCCCCATTTTGATTTTGACTCTTTATTACCGCCAACAACTTTATGTGTATACATATTTACAAGCTGTTTGCGTAGTCCCACGAGCTAGGTAAAAACTATGGCATTCGTATCCACAACGAGAAATTTTTGTTCGGTCTTTCCAAATTTTCTCTTTTTTATCAGTTGGAAAAGTTCCATGTTGAAAAAAACTTGTTATTATGGCGAGAAAATTTTACATTTCTGCTGTGCTAATTCGCAACTTTTTACTGCTGAAATTTTTGACAGTTGCTCTGGTGCAAAAGAATTTGAGCAATTAAAATCAGAAATTATACAAAAAAGACTTGTCTTTACTGACTTTTATTCTTCTAGAACTAAAAGTCATGCATTTATTAGACGCCTTAGTAATAAAATTAGAACAAAAAAATTCTTCAAAACCGTCAGGCCGGGTTGAAAATTTTCATTCACCTCATAGTTAACAAAAATTTAAAATCCGTAGTACTGTTCTACCAATTCGCAAATGTCGTTTGCTCAAAAAAGGTTATGAAATGCGTTTTATTTAAATCGTTTAGAAAATGAGTCATTTATGTATACCATTTTATGTGGAATTATTCAATAAATTTCGTTTTACACTATACTTTTTGAAACTATTTGAAGTTAATTATTTTGTGTTTCTTAAAAGCAACCCTGCGTGCTTGGAAGGCGTGTGTACCAATAATTTCATCCCTAGCATATTCATCCCCGAGGAAGGGAGTCGCCAAATTCACCGAAGGTTCTTTACTGGTTATATTGTGCATTCAATTGCATTGCTCACTGCTGGCTAGGTGTGAGGAATGTGCATACGTACGTATGTATGTATGTACATATCAATGCTTCATTTCAAACAAGCAAGTGTCTTTGAATGTTTTTGAACTAAAGTATCATCACTTCGGCAACACGTCAAACGCGCCTTCAGCAACAAACCAAAGGCGGCGGTTTGACTTCTGCAACAAATCAAGTTAGCTAACTGCGGCATCTTGCCTTCGCCAGTCTTTCACATAAGCTGTCATGCTTTCGGCAACCGTCCAAAGCAGTATCGTGCTTTTGGCAGTCGATCAAATACGGCGGTTGCTGGTTTCGTGCATGATCATTCGGAGTCAGCGTTGCCATTTTAGCCGTTTTCCGGCTAGATTTAGCCGGTTTTGATAGCAACTAGCCGGAGAAAATTCGATCTAGCCGGCAGCCGATTTGTTAGCCGGTTTTTAAAAAAAGTTAGCCGTTTTTAGCCGATTTTACTATTTGCCTAATTTTCAGGTGCACAAAGTAAACAAGTTGTTTGAAAGCAATAATGCAGACCCAATGAAGATTTTTAATGAACTCAATGTTTTACTTTCGCATCTATGCTCCCTAGTGGTTATTAGCGCGGACACATTTGATCCTATATGCTCCCCGTTGGAACCATACCTTGCTCCATTTCCTCAGTTTTATCACAGTTTTGAAGAGTATTTAAAAACAAAAGTAAGCACAAACGCTTTTGACCACGAAGCGGAGAAAATAATTCGAGAAAATGGTCGCTATTTTATTATCACTTTAATAAAGGAATTACGCCAACGCCTCCCTACAAATATTGCCACACTAAAAAAAAATGTACTTTTTTCGGTTGGAAATGCATTAAGAGTAATTAAACCAAAAGTATTTGTTCAACAACAACAGCAACAAAGCCACAAATATAATGCCGACGAAATAACATCCATAGAGATGCAATGGCAACGGTTAACGTTACATACCTGGAGTAATTTAGACTCAACTGTAAAATTTTGGGCCGAAGTTTATCAATTTCGAAATGCCCTAGGAGAAAACCCTTTTGCTGACCTTTGCAACCTAGTTTTTAGTTTTCTTGTTTTGCCTATAAGTAATGCAGAAGTAGAGCGAATATTTAGTTCAATGAATATAATAAAAACTAAGCAAAGAAATCCAATGTGCGTTAAAACGTTAAACGCTATTTTATATATAAGATACGGTTTAAAACGTGAAGAAAAATGCTGCCATAATTTTACTGTAGATGACGATCTCTTAAAATTAATGAATTCAGGTGATATATGCAATAGTGATTCATTTGATGATGAGGAATATACACTCGATATAAATTAATGGTGTTAACTAGTCTTTCGTTTCTTGCAATTTATTTAAATAAAGCATGTGAATTTTCACTAAAACATTTTAGCCGTTTTTAGCCGCTTTTTTTTGCCAATCTAGCCGGTCGGCCCAAAAAGTTCTGGCAACACTGCTGGCAAGCAATTTTTACACGCTTCTCGGAATTTCCGACGCGCTGCTGCATTGAAAACGCCAACTGAGGTAAGCGAATGGCAGATTAAACAGACAGTCAAAAATCAGCTCGTCAATTCCTGGAATACCTCGCGCGGTTTACATGCGTGCATACATATGTACATACATTTTTTTGCAGAAATCCACAAAACTAAACTGAATTCCTAAAATTGAAGTGTTTAAAATGGAATGCTTTTTCAAATCCCCGGCACAAGAGTCAAATGCAATAAGCCAGCAGCATCAACCGCTCATTCAGTACTCACGTTCCCCATTCGAGTTTCCATCAACACAATACGAGTCGTATCAGGAAAATGGTACAAAATATCTTAAAAGCTTGAAACCCATTCCTGAACCAGTGCAACTGCAGCTAAACGCATGCGCAGGAGAGGTTATTAAAAACAAATATAATTAGCATCAAATTTTTTCTTTATATGTAATTTGTTACTTTATGCTGTTTTCAGATTTTTATCAGTGGCATACCACCAGAGATAAGAGCTGAGGCCATCGCAGAAATTGCCGCCCTCCTTGGTGAACTTTATATTTTACGTTATAAGGTGAATTTTTCAGGAGACTCGCGGGGATTTGCTTATCTTCAATATGTAAATCCTTCGCTAATGCAGCTGGCTATTATTCGGTAATAATGAATACCACGCCCCCTTCTACATATGAATGTAGATACTAATAATTTACTCATTGATATTCGCAGCTTACCGGCACTTTTTCGACAGCACTCGCTCCCCATGATTCGGGTTCGTCAGTCTCGTAATTCCTCTAAACTTTTATTGAAAAAAACGTATCGTTTGTCACCGGAGAGTGTTTACGAAACTCTGCGTCAGCTGATTACCTTTGATAAACTAATTGGACAAGAAGTATTTCCCGGCTATTTCGAGTACCAGATCATCTTTAAAAGTAATGAAGAAGCCGTGCATGCTCGACGTGAGCTTCTGCGAACTATCTCTAAATTTGGAAGAAATGCTATTGTGGTATGGGATACTACCAATGAGGTAGTCGATGGTGCAACTCCAAGAGGGTTGGAGCAAGACTGTGAAACAGTACGGAATGAGAGTGACCCTACCCTTATACCCGCGGGTGTTTGCACCCAGGAGTATGCTCGGGCACCGTTAATCGCCTCACCGCTGGTTTCTATCAACGGAGATGAACAAAGTGTTGAAGTTTTTGAGCCCATTAAAGGCTGGAGTTTCACATTCTAAGAGTTCCCTTAAAAGTGAACCTTAAATTCCGCTAGTGGAATTAAAAATATCGTTGGGTATTTCGTAATAATTTCAAATCAAATAATTTTTTACCAAATTACAAGAGGCTTCTAACGATTTCTTTAAATTAACGGTGCATAGTTTCGCCACAAATTATGTATTTCTATTTATAAATGCACGTAAGTTGGTAAATAATGTGAAATAAGTTTTGGTAACGGGCAAAACATATGCAACATGTGTATTAATAAAAATGAACTTCCATGAACTTAAATAAGTATGTACATATGCACAAATGTCACCTGGCATTATTTTTAAAGTACATGGGATATAGGGTGTATTCGAGCTGCAATTAATGCGGCAGTGTTACTTTTTATGAAAGAGCACCACGTTTTACGCGAAAATTTGGGCGGCTCTGCTTACATTAAGCGTTCGAGAAACACAATTTTGCCAATCAGTTTATCACTGGCAAATCAAAAGCATTATAAACATTTTTACTACACAATTTCTAGAGCGTTTCAGAATATTTTCAGCTGAGCATCAACAGCTGAAAGCAACAAGGCTGCAATATTGCAGTATTACTACGTAGCTCACACACCCATACATACATACATACATATCGTCGCCTGGGTAAAAGATTGTCGTCATTTTGCCGATTTTTAGTCAAAGAAGCAGTTTTAATTTTTTTTAAAGATCTTTCGATTGGTGTTATCAGTTTTGGGTATCTCCTTTAGTATCGGAGATATTCAGGCCGATTCTGAACAGATACTCCCTGGGAGTTTTCTCTCTTTTCCCTTTCGTCCTATCATGAATAGAAATTCCCTGACGATTTTTTATATTAAAGGGCGGAGATGAGCTCTCAAAAAAGTGTCGAACAGCTTTTTTGATATTCAAATTTCCTCCTTCCAAATTTTCGGGAAAATGCTACTCCCTGGGAGTTAATTATTGGAGGATTTCTTTCTCGGGAGAAACAAATTCCCGGAGAACAAACTCCCCGGGAGTATTAAGAATTGAGCTGATTGAGTAAACTTTTGACGTACACATTTGCAAGTTCGCAAGCGACTCGGTCAACATTTTATTGTATGTGGGTAAAAGATTGTCGTAAACGTCATTTTGACGATTTTTAGTTAAAGATGCAGTTTTATTTTTTTAAATAAGATCTTTCGATCGGTGTTATCAGTTTTTGGATATCTCCTTAGTCCCCTTTCAGACACGTCAAGTCTTGCTTTCAAGTCTGCTCGTTCGTTGGCGAAGGAGGTGAGAAGAGAGGGGAAGAATACAGATACCTCCGTACCGTCAATTCGTTTCAAGTTTTCTTGTTCTCTTTTGATCTTTTCGTTGCGTCCCATTTAAAAACCAAGGACTTGAACTCAATAAAACTTGACGCGTGGGGAAGCAAAGAGAACACAAAAAAGAATGCGATAAAAATTGCTTTCAAGACTTGACGTGTCTGAAAGCGGACTTAAGTTTCCGAGATATTGAGTAAAATTTTGTCGTATTTGCAAGTTCGCACGCGACTCGGGTAACATTTTGTTGTATCGTCGCCTGGGTAAAAGAATGTCATAAGCGCCATTTTGACGATTTTTAGTTCTAGATGCAGTTATATATTTTGAAAGGTCTTTCGATGGATGTTATCAGTTTTTCCTTTAGTTTCCAAGATATTGATTACAATTTTTTCGATAATTTAGTAAAAATGGTAATTACATATCTAGTTGGGCTTTCAACCCAAAAAATTTTTTGTTAATAACTTTTGATCGGGTAAAAAAAGTTAATTTCCGCTTTCGGATTCTTGTTACTGGGGACCAGACGCTTCTAATGGTACCCCCTTTCCAAAATTTTTACCATTTTTGGGGGTTGAAAGCCCACCTAGATAATTACGGATTATAACCCTCACTTCCTTCTCCTTTCTGTATTGCCATAAAAAGAAGCCGAAGTATTTCTGCGCAGAACTTCTTGCTGAATAGGCGGCCTTCGGCCGCACTTAGGGATTATAACCCTCACAAAGTAGAATTCTCGTTCTGTGTTGCGAAGAAAAGCCGCTGAACACCTTTTGCAGAGAACACCTTTCTGCGAAAATTAATAACTTTTGATCGGGTAAAAAAAAGTTAATTTCCGCTTTCGGATTCTTGTTATTGGGGTCCAGACGCGTCTAATGGTACCCCATTTCCAAAATTTTGACCAATTTTGGGGGTTGAAAGCCCACCTAGATAATTACCGTAAAAATTTAGTTAGTGATGCCGTCATATTAAACTAAAAATGGCGTTCCCCATTTTTGGATATCTCCTTTAGTTTCCGAGATATTGAGTAAAATGTGTCGTTAATTTAGTAGAAATTTTGATCACGTTTTTTCGTATTTCATACAAAGTGGCTGCCAAATTGTGAACAAATGACGCTTACGACAAAATTTTACTAAAGAAAATCCTTCATATACTCAAAACTAATTAACAATAAACATTAAAAATTAAATAATTTAAAAATTTTGTAAACTAGTAACATTTTCAGAGACTTTGGAGAAAATCTATCTTCGCGTTTTTGAGAAATTGCATTCCAAACTTCAATCGCGATTTCCCAAAACCTGCCGAAATTAACATACGACAATCTTTTACCCAGGCTACGATATACATATCCACGGTAAAATTACCGTATCGTCGCCTGGGTAAAAGATTGTCGTATGTTACTTTCGACAGGTCTTGGGAAATCGATGTTAAAGATTCAGTCACGATTTCTCAAAAGCTGAACGATCGTTTTTACCAAATTTTAATGCTAGATTGTACATACTATTTAAAGTATAAATCTACATTTTCTTAAATTTTCAGTAACTCATATAGCTTTTACAGCCACTTTTTTATAAAATAATTTTGCCGTATTTTACATTTTCTCGTTAAACGCTAGCCAGCTGTATGAGGTATAAATCACACACACAGCAAGTAAGCAAAAGGCTGAAATTGTTGAAATTAGTTTTTGCTCGTACGCGAAAAATATAATTCTAATACACCTGAGATATAAATTAATGAGTAAAAATCAACAAAATATTAAATAATTTGTCAATAAGAGTTGCCGTAGCACATACGACTGACTATCAATTGTATTGGATTTGTGTGATTTTGTCGTATGTACCATATAATTTGTCATATAAGACAATATTTTAACAAGTAATCAATTTCATAAAACTGTATGACAATTTTGTTGTGTGTGAAATTCTTCGTCACATACCTACAACAAAATGTTAACCGAGTCGCTTGCGAACTTGCAAATATGATAAAATTTAACTCAATATCTCAAAAACTAAAGGAGATATCCAAAAACTGAAACCAATCGAAAGATCTTATTTAAAAAAATAAAACTGCATCTTTAACTAAACATCGTCAAAATGACGTTTACGACAATCTTATACCCAGGCGACGGTATATCCACGATAAAAATCCAGGTAAAAATTACCGTAGTTCCACGGTAAAAATTTACTGTTCATCCACGGCAATTTCTGAAGATGTCTATTTCGTGGATTATGTGTTGCCGGAGAAGTGGGAAAAAGGTGACAGGTAATAAGATCACCGGAAATAAGGTCAATTGACTTTATTTCCCACCCTGGTGCGAAATAAAGTCAATTGACATTATTACCTTTTTAAAAACGAAATAAAATCCATTGATATTATTTCCCTTTCAAACATTAAATTTGTTTAGCTTCGCGGCGGCCCGCGTCAGCGCGCCACACCGCGTGCGCCGCGCTCGCGCCCCGCGTACCCCGCGCGACCGACGCGCACCACGTCACGCTACGCCGCGGCCCCCTCCTCACAAATTAGTTTTTGTGCAAATTGCAGATAGAGGGTATTAATGAATTCAAGCCCTCGATATTTCACATTTTTATATTTGTAAGTTATTAGAAGCAGGGATGCCAATGCTCAAACCGTGCCATTTGTCCCTATTTTACTTCAAATGGCACTTAATTTTTCAAATTTGTAAAAAAAATTACATTGCAATACATTTTTGTGACATCCTTTGCGTGCACTTCTTTTTCTCAACTAAAATTTT